CTGCAAACCAGACTAGCAACAACACACAGCTGCGAGACACAAGCTGTCTGTCTTTTGACTTCCTGCTGGAGAGGGTACGCTACCCGCTTTTCCCTGCAGCTAACCCCAGTTTTGGAGCTGGATTATATGAATGAAGATAATCAAACAGACACACTTTGAGAGCCTGCATGACGCTCTGTTATAGAAGGACAATCAACCTCTGGCTCCTCAGCACTCCAGCTATTACTTTAGGTGAAGACATGACCAAGCTATATGACTTGTTACGCTTCCGGAGGTAGCAGATTTTGAATTAAAAGTTGTGGAACTGAACTTCCAGGGTTGATGAGCTGCATGCGATCAGAGGAAGCAGATGTGAGGAGGTTAGGTGTTTGAGACTTCTTCTGCTGCAGCCTTAAAACCAACAATTCATGAGAGAAACAGAACTTTAAGCACCTGTTTGGTAGTCTTCTCAGTCCTGCCCACACCTGTTTCAGCTGTCAGTCAGAAGCGGTCCCTCCACTCCTAACCGGACAACCAAGGAGCTAATACACTTTGACTGTGCTGTCTGAACCTGCTGGTGGCAGAGTCTTTGATGGGTGCAGGTTTGCAGCAGGGATTAATCTCATCACACTAAAATATCTCCCTGGCAGCTGTTGGCATGTGTCGTCCACCCCATTGATCGTGCCCGTCTGTGCGGGCAGGACTGCATAATTCTATTTAATGTATGAGGCGCAAGGGGGGCTCCAGGCCTGTCACAGACAGTGCGGGCCAATCCAACTGGCCTCATGCTAATGCGGCCTGCCAGGTCCCCCCGAGGACAGAGCCTGGCTTTAGGGAGCACAGAGGAGGACTCATTCTGCCCATGCCGATTCGTCAAACGGGAGAGGAGAACTGTATCTCCAGGTGATCCCAAAAAAACGTCCAGACAGCATGCGAGAGAAAGCAAGGGCGAGGCAGAAAGAATATGACAACCCAGAGACAGAGAAAGAGGGCACGAGAGAGTGAGAGAGATGCCTCTGATCAGAAGATAGGTTGTTAAATGGAAACGCACTAACTGGCTGCTTGGGGAAATTAACATTTATTCTTTCGTTGATGGAATCAGCTGAGTGTGTATGTGTGGGTAAAGGAGTTCGGAAATGCCTCCACCTTTGTTTGTTGTTGTGGCATTTGGCTAACACCTGGTTTATCAAACCGCTATGTTCCAGCATTTCAAAATGATGGGATTTATTAATAAGTGGGAAAAAGTGTGACGTCATATTTCCATTACCAAAACAAGTGAAACTTGCATCATTCATGCAGAACAAGAATTATTGTTGAGCTGAAATGAAATATGAATGCTTCAAAGCACTAAAGCAGTCTACTGGGAATCCACTCCACCTCTTTCACATGATACTGTCCCACATAACACTAGCGTAAAGTGCATGAATTAATCAGATTCTGTTCCTTTTGACCCCTTTGACATCACTTTCCTAGGTCAAACATGCTTATATATCCTGGAACACCCCATTGTAGAGTTAGCGGCTCCCTAGCAAAGCTAACGTACATATACAGTATATCAGATTAAAGTTCTAGTTCCAAGTTTAGCTATTTTATAGTGCACATTTAAAAACAACAAAAGTTGACCAAAGTGCTGTGCAGTGGGGTGGGGTGAGCTCTTTATCTTTCCGTGGTTCCAGTCAGCGGCATTGCAGCAGCTTTCTGGATGAGTTGCAGGCAGGACATGGAGGAGTGGGAGATACCAGAGTAGAGGGAGTTGTACTAGTCGATCCATAAGGATATGAAGGCATGGATGACTATGTCCAGGTCGGGGCGGGAGAGGAGAGGTTTTAATTTAACTATGGATTAGAGCTGAAAGGAACTGGATTTGACGACTGCATTTGTCTGTTTATCAAATTTTAGGGCGGAGTCGGTTGGTAGCATGGGGCTGGTGGTGAGAGGATGGGTTGGGTTTCTAATTTAATGGAGTCCAGGGGGGGCTATGATTTGTTGTCATAAACTGCAAGAAATTGAGTTAAAGAAAAAGTGAGACATACACCACTATAACTCTTGGTTATTACAACTTATGGAATCTTCAGATGGTCTAACTCCTGAAGTTTCTCGCCCCGTTTTACTTCTTTTTAGTAGTGTTGCCACGTTCCCATATCTCAGCAATTACTTTGGTGAATATAATGTTGTTATCGTCGATAGGAATGATGCCCAAATAAAATACAAATGACGATTTAAAGGTTTAATAAACCCTAATTATCTTTTCAGATATTACCAGATCAATCAAACTAAATTTGATAATGATAACATAAATGTTATTCTAAAAAAAAAATACTAGCTAACATTTTCACTAGCATTTGTGCAAAGCTTTACTTTACTTTCTATTTTAAAACAGGACACTGAGGTGTAACACACTTTAGGACGTGGCGATTCATCAAGACACTGACAAGTCTGAACATTGATTTATAGGCTGAACAGTGTTCTTTGAGCAGTGCCTGAGCTAAACATGTACAGCTGAGGCTGATGAGACATTTATTACTTTGCAGGTATTTACTGTCGTCATAAATCAAAGTATTGGACAATCTAATGTATTCAATTTCACATCAGGAATTAGGAATTACCAAAGTCAGTAGCATTCATCCTCTAGGGAACATGATTGTAATAGTAATACATCCAGTAGTTCAGTGGTGAGGCTGTGCTTAGGCCTGTACTTACTTTTAGCAAAACGTCAGCATGCTAATATACGCACAATAACAAGGTTAGCATGCTGATGTTTAGCAGGCAATATTAGCCATGTTTACCATCGTTTTTTGGCATATTAGCATGCATTAGCATTTTGCTAATTACCACTTAACATAAAGTACAGCTTAAATTTGTGGAAATGCTTTCAGTTTAAGAAGTATTTTAGTCATAAAACCAAATTATTGGACAAATTAACAATTAGGCCAGATGATTTAGCTGGATGAAATGTCAGGGGTCATTAGAGATCATCCCGTGGGAATAATGAATGTCTGCACCACATATCTCTAACGTTTGTCAAGACATAACAAGCAAAATCATAAATGTCAACGTTGAGGTGGTTCCATGTGGGGACAAGTGAAGACATCACCAAAGTCACTGGGATTCATCCTCTGGGGACCATGAATGTCGATAGAAAGAATGATGTTTCAGATGTTTCAGTCTGGATCAAGTTGGTGAGCCGGCAGATTAGACAGACACAGAGCCATGCCGAGAACCATCCCGCCAGATTGACACAAAATATAACACAATTAAGAACAAAGGCCATATATATAGTGACTCAACTGAAAGAAAGAAAAGTCGGTGCTAGAGATGCCCGTGGCTGTTTCGTGTGAGCCGGTAAGATCAGGTTCCAACTTTGATCGAATGTTCAACAGGATTTGCAACCCTGCCGGCAAAAAAACATTCTGAAGTGAATACTAAACAAGCAGGCGCTGTGCTCGTTAAGCTTTAATCAATGCTATTATTAAAGGTTGACTGCTCGAGATAGGAAGAAGAGCCAGCTTAGAAGACATTTCACACCTTAATCAAGTATAAAAGGAGCTGTTGGAACACTTACGGTCCTTCCTGCAAACATGTCTCTGCTCATTTTGGAGCTTTTTACTCAGACGGACTATGGTGCCAGAGTTACTTTTGTCAGTTAAAGGAGTAAATAGTGCATTTGGGCCGATGATAATAACCATAATAATAGTGTCAGTAACATAACAAATGTTCCTGTGTCAATGACCCCAGAGAGACTCCCAGCTGATCACATTTAGACCCGTGAAGAGATAATCCTACATTTACAATAGCCAATCACACATTAGCAAATGAAGTGCTGTCAAAGTGGGATAATTATGGGACATTACACTCATAACACTTGAGCAATGCAGACCGTAGGCAGCCAAACACAGCAGCTAATACCCTTCATGATATTTATTGAATAATAATAATATCATTAAAATCCTCGGGTATTCGTACGTTTTCTAAGATGGAACATTTTAAATATGCAGACAATTATTAGAGTGTTTTTTTTAAGCTGTTGCATGAATGGAACCGTGACCGTTATGAACATTACTTAGAGGACACAGCCAGTACAAAACAAAGACCAGAGTGAGTCTCATGTGTGAACCAGGATCTGATCAAAGCTCACTGTGGGAGTGGGAATCAGGCAGACGAGGGATAGCTCGGCTTGATTACAGCTTTGGCCGGCATTTCTGTCGGTTGTGATAACATTGTGCTGAGTGAGATCTAAAAACAGGGCGGCGGCGTACAGTCCACTTGTTCCTCCCTGTAGCTGTGCCTCGTTGCATTTTACTGACATTTTCAGTTTCACCTCAAAATAAAGTAGTTTAGATACTCTGACTGAAAAATTGTCTTCATGATGGAGTTGCCTTGTTCTATGATCTGTGGCTGACTGATTGGAATGATACTGTTTTCTTAGGTAATAAGACTATAAGAGGCCCATATTTATTAGTGCTGTAATTTTCTGTTTTTGATAACTCCATGAGAAATGATCATCATAACTGTGACATTAGGTCTACTTATTATTTATCTGGCATTCGTGCTTTGTTCTCACCTCGTTATCTGCGTGCTCAGAACAATACAATTCCATCAAATGAGATGTAAATTATTGTTTGATATCTGGAGATAACATTATAGTTAAAGTTCTATTTACTTTTCCCGCGGTATCTTGTTTGTATGAACACTAAATGTTCTGTTATTGATGTCCAACTCTCGCAGTGTTTGAAGAACGCTGGTCCGGTGTCAAACCGTGTAAAGGCCGGTGCGCCGTGGTGCTCTCCTTGGTGCTGATCTCCTTTGTTTGCAGTCAATATATTCGTGTATTTAATTTAACAAAATAATAATGTATTGATTAAAATGCTAACTAAGCATGCCATTTGATTTGACAAACGCATACAGAACCCAGCATGAATTCAAATAGAAATCTTTTATTTTGTGCTGTTTAATTGGCCCTCATCCATCGCTGCCCTTTCCCCTCGGACTCGCTCCAAGAAACTCCCCGTGGCACAAGCCCATGTTGTTTTACATTTTATTAATAGCAACATCAGAGTACTAAATGTACAGAGGACGAATCCAATGAGAATCGCATTTACAGTGCTTGCAAATACAGAGCTTAGTAGTACAAGAGTAACCAAATCATAGTCACCTGGAAATCGAAACGTTTACCAATAAACTACAAAAGGAAGAGATGTGGTTCATAAGACACGAAAAATAAAAGTCACACAACATTTAGCCGTCACAGAGACAGACTGAGTCCCTTTTGTGGAGGTGTGTTGTATGTGTGTGTGTGTGTTTGTATATACTATAGTCATAGGTCTTATACAAAAGTTAACAGAGGTACTCATTGATATATTAAACACAAATATAAAAAGTTTTAAGAGTCACAAAGTACAAACTCTTCATTTTTATGGCGACAACACAACTCGAGTCAGGTTTCCTTCATGGTAGGTATGGATTGTGATTGTAAGTCGGCTTCGATGAACAGACCACTGTGTGCCCGCATGTGACCCCCGCCCCCCCCCCACCAAGAACAAAGAAATCACAAACAACTTCCTCACCAACAGAAATTGAAACTATGTGATATTTATATATATATCTTTTTTATTTTTATTTGAATCAACTCTCAGGGAACAAGCAAAGGATCTATATTTTCCAAATGTCCTTACAACGTCGGGGGCAAACTAATCAAACGGCTGATTTGTGTGACGCAGCTGGTCTCCATCTAGCAGAGGGGCATTATGGGAGAATTGAGATGTTGTTCTTTTTTCTCTTTTTTTTCAAGTCTTTGACTGTATTGACACGCACTGACGGTGACAGTGCCTTAGCTCTTGTGAATAGAAAAGTAAAAACGTGACTCAAGAGGAGAGTCAGAGCCCTCCGCTTTAAATACAGTAAGCGCACAGTACGTGATTCTTTTCTGAAACCGTGAGGGAGAAGCGGTGCGAGGAGCTACAGGTTTCTGACGGCAAAAGAAAAAGGATTGAGTAAGATACATATCAGTCTATGAAGATAAACGTCGTCCTGTCCGCTGCGTTTTACTTTTTGTCTTCAAATCAGATATTTCCTTCTTCCTGCTGAGTGTCACCTTGCTGACATTTATATGAAACTCACCAGCACATCACATGTTTGTACGCTCATCAGACACCCGAAGGCCATGATTAAACAGAGTCCATGCATTGATTCTCCTCCTCCCTTGATATGGAAAAAAAACTCGGCCTCGCAGATGTTCAGGCTACATCTAATTCACACACACATGTGATCACTCTGTATGTCTAATATGCAAACAGGAAACACGGTCTCTGCAAACGAGCGGGAGAACCCTTGCTGATTTATTTACAGCTTGTTTGTGCTGAAGGGGGGTGTAGGTTTCATGGGCTGCTGGAGAGACAGAAACGGGAGCTGCAAAATATTCATTTGCTGTGGAAAAAAAATGCATGTCAAGTCTTTGGTGTCTGTTTAAGACTCCACCCCCCCTCCCTCCCTTCTGCTGTTGCCTGCGCTGCCCTCAGATGATGTTTCGTGAATCAGATCTGACCAGCGGAGTGGAATCATTTCCCTCCCTCTTAGCTATGATACACCACGCTCGTCAGCCATCCCGAAATATATGAACTGAAAAGGCGAGGAAGCAGCGAGGCATTTCCCTACGTATCAGTTTGAATTCAGACAGGTGATCTATGCCGATGTCTGCAGATAGCCCGTCTCAAAGGTACGTCTGAGCCGCTCCCTCATCCACAAGTCCTTCAGGAATGCAGAAGAGTTGCTTTTAGCTCGCCTGTGGGTTTACTGAGATACTGACGATGCAAACTAGCTTTTCGAGGCTAACCCTTGTTTTGAAACGGAGAAAGAAATTCCAAATGTCAAGGTTTCTCTTTGTTCGACAATTCGATATTTTTTGTAGGTTTCAAAGAACATGGAAACACTCTCACACAATCATTCTTTAGCCTTGTATCGAATTTCAACCATTTCCAGTAAGGTCATGTTGACGTTTTGCAGTTATCAGCTTACAGTGTTACTAATGCAGAGACTTGGAAAAACACATTGTACCTTCTTTGATGAGACAGTTTGCAGCAATTCAAAGAACCGGCAAGGTCACAAAAAGCAGCCCAATATTTCTAAAAGTTTGGTGTTCGTAGGGAACTACTTCATGATAGTTCAGCACAGATCTCTCACGATCGTCAGTACTTAAAGACCAGTGTGTAGCATGTAGTGGAGTCTTAGTTGTTCTTAGCCCCACCCCCTCGTGTCACCGCTTGTTGCAACTACCAAGATGGCAAAGGCCAGAATGCCAGACTCGAGCCGTCAAAACGGTGAAAATATAGTTATGAATATTACATTCCATCTTTGCTAATAAAGCCTCCTCAGTCCTACACACCGGTCCGTTAGGCTGAAAGGATAATTCAGGTTCTGTAAAACTTGGGTCACTGCCGTCACTAAATATAATATTGTATTCAATCAAGTTCAATGTTCAAAAAAGAATCCAACAAGGCACGAGCAATCAGGTTGTAAACTTATTTGAAGGGGAAAATAAAGGCAAACTGTAAAAGGGATGAACTTTGACTAACTGTGCTTGCCGTAGTTGTGTGCGCACACAGTTTTGCGCTTGTGTTTTACCCCGTTGGACCTAATTTGTTCATTTTGTGTGTAAAATGTCAAAATACTCTGGTTGTCGCTTTGGCCAACATTTTTAGGAGGCTGACTATAAAAAAAACAGCTATCAAGGTTAGAAAAACGCCCAAGTTAAAATAAACCAGAAATATCCTTTAAAGACTTTGATGAATGGCTTCTCACATCATTGTGCGTAACTCTTGGCATTTCTTAAACAGGTCAATCAAAAAGTACTCAACAAACCATCTTCCTCTCACAACGTCTTTCCCTGATTATTGTCATTAATCATAAATGCTAATATTAGTTTGTTTACGCAGTGATTACAATGTGGCAAATCATACATTTTATGGGGCAGTTGTATATACAAAAAGAAAACATGACAAATGAATGCAACCCAGTCTAGGTTAAGTTTAGTTGGTTTCTTGGCAGCTACTGTTGGATTTACACTGATTATCTTTTTTTATTATTCCTGTGATGAAACACTCAATATTAGAGTTGATGTAGAAATGATATTTAAGAGCAGAGAGTCATTGGTTTCTCAGCGTACCATGAACACAGCACGGTGTGATCACAACACCTCTTGGAACCACTCAGCACTTTCAGACGTCCCACCTGGAAACCCCTCCCCAGTCCTCTGAACTATTGCAGCGTCTACTGGAGTATTATACTGGCTAGCTGAAGATATAACACACGTACTGCTTGAAAGTGCAGGTAGGAAGCTTGGCACAAGGTTAGTTTTGTGTTTTTAAAAGAAATACTGTAGTTACACATGTAAACAAAGACACTATCCCCGATCTAGCTGAAACCTTCCCCAAAAAACTGGGTCAGGTCCTGAAAAATAGAACACACCTGTACACAAATAGAAGCAAATATATAGAAAATACATTTACACGTGTAGAATATACAGTTCAGTTTTTCGTAACCCTCTCGACTATTTAAGATAACACTCTTCATTCAAAAAAATATATGTTATGTCAAAGAAGCAACTCCGCAGCCTTGACAACACACGTGAGGCTGAATTGGTACGGGTCATTCATGAGAGCGTGGGTGTTTCATGTTGTGAAGGGGCAAACGCAGGAGCTTGTGTGTGTTTGTTTTTGCACCACAGTGTTTATCCCAGGCCGTCCTGGCGCCTCCTGGGACAACCTGCTTCCTCGAATCCTTCAGAAGACGTATAAGCCTGAAAACACCCGAAGAGAATTACTGGAGATCCACCTTCGACGCGCTAACAAAAACTCTGCCGCCTTTTTAGAATCTGTACATATTGCTGTCTGCAGCCAAAAAACGCTTACAATTACAGAATTGTATTTGTGCTTTGAACAAACCCACAGCACAATAAAAGGTAGATTCGTAGGCGGCTTCCTTCAAAAGGCTTCGTAGCACAATGGTAGTCTGTCTTTCAGAGCTGGGAGGTTGATCATAAGATGATTTTGGGATGGAAAGGCTCCCAGGAGAGCTCTTCCTTCCTGACCATGGAGTTCCCTCATCTTGACACAAGAGACAGTTTAAAGCAATTTGGCAGCGGCTGATTGGCTCGTCATAATCCCCTCCCTTGGACAATACACTGGAGTCTTTTGGCTCTTTTGAAAGAACAAAATGAAACTCCCCCTTTCTCACACGTCCACGTCGCATTTCCCTTCGGCACAAATTCAAACGACCTATTTGTGCACAAACCTCGACTTCTCTGGCTGTGATAGCTGAAACTGTGATATGCTAGAACTAACCTCTGCCACACATTTGTCCAGAGAGTTCCTCCCTCCCTCCCTCGCATTTAAAACATCATTCTGATCCTGATGGACGCCTCTTTCACAGCTTCTTCTCCGTTCTGAGTGGAAGAACGGAGGATAATTTGACGTTCCGTATTCAACAAATTGGTTCATGCTCTTCTTGATTTACTGTAATTCAGACTTTTTAGCTTTTCTAAATGCGTTATTAATTTATCGAGTGAATCTGGGAGTTGCGTGGGGATATTCATGTACTTTCTGTGGAGGGATTCATTTTTCAATCTCTTTGCTATTCATGCAAATTGTCACATGAATGGTTTGAATTTGAAGCTCATATTGAATCTATTCCACTTTTTTTCTCAAATCAGAAATCATAACCAATCATTAGAATTCATCCCAAACAGCGACTGAAACTGAGACCAACGTGAAGTGTGCAAAAGAGCCAGACAGACCTGAGGCAGTATGAATGTCCTGTCCAGCTCCATGCCGTCTGTTGTGGCGGTCCTTACTCCAGCTGTTCATGCATTGGCTGCTGTGGGATTCGTTGTGATCCAGCACCACAGAAACCTTTTTGTTTCTTTCTTCCATTAAGCCAAATCGAGGTGCAAATCGCACACATTAAGCTCTCGGATTGGCTGGCACCAGGTGGACTCAGATGGGTTTCTTTGTTATAATCTCGGCCCGGGTGGGAGTATTTAATTAACAGCGCTGAATCCCGAGTGCTCCGGACCTCCACGGTTGTGGCAGACTGTACTGTGTAAAAAAATAGACGTAAGTATTCTTTTTAAAATGGGACCTATAGAAACAATGTTTTAAAACCAACTGTTCACTAAAGCATATACCGTTTCTCTCTCCCCCCCCCTCATCTTCTCTCGCCCCAAACTAATAGAATAATGTGTCTTATAAATATCTTTTAGACTCTTTTTGCAACACATTTCTTAAAACTATTTCAAAACATTTTCAAATACATTTGTAGCATTTTTTCACATTTGTTAGAAAACAAACCAAAATGAAGTTGGAGTCGATACAGGGTTGATACAGCGCTCTTTGTTGTAGTCCGTCCGTTGTTGTTGAAACTTCCTTCTATCCAGGTTGTGGCACATAGTGGCATTATTGGCACATTGTTCAGAAATACAGTTTGTCTTCCACCCACCGCAGCTCCTTGGGCTCCTTTTTTTCAAATGTCAAATGTTTTCCTTGAGACACCTGTGACGTCCACAGTCCCATCCCACACATCCTGTAAATAGACCTATATATAATCTATATCTAAATGACTGTACGTTCCTGGAAAGTATGGAGTGGCAGCGTTGTGGCTGCTCTGCTTGTCATCTCTAGAAAAATAAATATCTTCACCAGTGTCCAAAGAGTGATCACACTATTTTACAAAAGAAGTTGTTTTTGTGTGTTTTCGTTGTTTCCAACTGGAGCCTGCGGAGAACAAAATCACAATTATCACTCATGAATGAAACCATAAAAAACCATCACTGGAACACAGAGAGGGCTTTCTACTTTTATGTTATGGCGAAGTGGTATCCAGCTCTGGCCTGGGGAAAAACACAAGAAATGGCAATGCTGTATTTGAAATATCTACTGTACTACATTAGGTTCGCAGCACAATGATAAGGGATCTTGTGTCTTTTAAGGCCGCAGCACTGGGGACTCTGACTGAGACTAATGTGTGTCCAGACATCGGCGAGGCGCTTTCCTCTCGCTGCACTACCTGCAGGCCATCTATTCCTTTTCAAATCTGGGTCAATAGCAGACGTCACACCTCCCCCCGGGCTTCCAGCAACACTGTGGGGCCAGAGCATGTGTTTAACTTTCATTCTGGCATATATTAGCCATGCATAAAAAATATGGCACAAGTCAAGTAAAAGGGCTCCTTCACTCCTGTTCAGAGTGCTGAAAACTATATGCTTTCGGTGTGAGGATGAGAGCGGCGACATACATATGAATGAGAGAGTTTCAGAGATGAGGAGGGAAATGATTAGTTGTGAGCGTATAGCTTATAAATAGTGATTTATACATAATTAACTTCTTATCTCAACTAGACCTCTGATACCGCACTGAACTGGATTTCTCAACCTCTTTTTTTTATCAGAGAGGAGCGTAATCATGTCACAAATACCAAACATATGCCAAGTTCTCATCTATTCCCAAAGTGGGGCAGCGTCGAGGCTCAGACGGTGATCGGCAAAGGGGGCAAAGTGGCACGGTACCCACCGGAGCGTGACTTCAGGAAGTCTCTTCCACCCACAGGAAGTGAGCAAGGCCTTCAGCTCGTCAACAAGAGATCTCGAACCATTTCTCTGACACGAAGGCCACGGGAATCAGCTGTCTTTCAGTGGGGGAGGGCCTGCGGGATAAAGAGGCGGGAACGTTAATACTGACGGATGGCAGTTTGACAGCTTTCATATTTATATTCTGAAGGGACATTATTTGCTGAGCAGGCGCGCTGATAGCTGTTTTCCAAGGACTCCGTAGATCCTCTCACAGACCTGCTGTAGCAATCAAACCTTTAGCGCCTCTGTGAACACGGTACCATCGGTCACAGACCAACACAACAGAGATAATCGCATACTGGAGCCTCTGGAAATCCTGGATTATCAGCAATAATGTTGCTGAAAATGTGGCCATCCCTTCCATGACTTTAAATAAATAAATACAGACACTTTGGACTCTTTACACCAGATGAATGATCCTATCCTCGCTGCCAGCATAATGAATCTGTTACAGGGTTTTGGATACACAGAGTAAGTGTGACCATCTTTGCTGGCCCCGCAGCTTGGATGACTGTTGCTGTTATCCACTCAGACAGTAAACACCATCGAAACTCTACAAAGCGTATTGTTACGCTACATACAAATGAAAGTTTATGCCTGATTTCTGTGGAAAAACACACCTGCCATGTCAGATTATACCACAGAGAGAGACACGTCTTCCCCGCAGAGAGAAGCGATTTCAACTCAGCGATATGCAAACACACCGATGACTCACCGGTGTTGCATCTTGTGGTATGAAGCAGCACGTATTAGCTGGGTTGGTAAACATGGGATGTGTTGTGTGCAGATTGCTGATATCACATATATATACAGTATATACTGTCTGCCATTTGAAAGGCTGTCAGAAGGATCCGTTAGACAGAAAATGGCACCGTCATGGCTTCCTGTTGCCTACAGCACATCTATCAATGGACTCGGTACACAACCACGGAAATCACTGGTAGGTTCAGCGTTTCGTGTGCAGCTTGAGGTAGGTGTTGGGCTGAAGGAGGAGAACGGGGCGATGGGCGGCAGCATTAAGGGAAACAAACCTCTGACTGGAGCTGATTGTGGTTCAGAGGAACAGCAAACGCACGGGGACGAGTGGGAGGAATCCAAGCTAGAGATGCACCGATAACGATGAGACATCATTTCATGGGATAGTTATAAAGACATGGATCCCCTCATAAAACCATTACTATTATTAGGAAACATACACTGATTTCTTAACCAGGTCCAATTCCAGACTGCTTTGAATGGGGGGGGGGGGCAGTAAGAGATGCTGCGATCACCGCTCTCTACAACGATATGGATGGTCCGAGTGTACACACACCCCAGAGAAACATTTGGGTCGTAAAAGCCAGGATCTGGAGGCGTCTGGAACATTCTAATGCCACTATTATATTCGTATACACTGTTCTCAATTATTGCATATTTTAATGAGTTATGTGATAAATCATTGTAAAGGAGAATTAGGCTTCTTGTGCATCTTAGTCCACGCAGTCTGTAAATAGCTATGAAAATGTAAAAAATTTGCTTATTCCTGACTGGTCAGAACTAAACTAATTAAGAATTCATTACATAACATTATATTTAAGTTTTTAAACATGATTTGTTTCATCTGACATTAGTTGGTCATAATTGGTCACTGGAAGAAATACCAGGATGTTTTAAAGTGTGAAATGACGGTGTGAGGCACGGCCTTTACTTTATGAATATTGCCCGTTTCAGTGGGTGTTTGAAACGCCTCTTAGAGTTGGCTCTGCTGTAAAAAGTGGTTTCATTCTTCCATTCTTCTTCTGCGTCTTTTCTTTTATTCTTTTAACATTCCAGCCATTCCAGCCTCTAATAAAATCAAGGATAATAACTGCAGTGGACATAAAGTGTCTGTGTGTTTCCAGTGCTGGCTGACTGCACTAATGCTCCAATGTGCATCCAAATTGTGCTATAAACAGCCCTGAGCCGGCGTACCTGTTCCCGTTGTAAGCAGTCTTGTAGACAGGCGTCTGCTGGATCATCTCATCAGTGTAGATGGGCACGGCAGTCCGGACGCACTCGTGTGAGCACTGCAGGCTGTCGTTGTAGGCAGTGAATATGTCCACCTTGCTGGGCACCCGGGCCGGGGTGAAGTCTGTCAGGTTTTGGCAGCTTTCTTCCTGCTGGTGGATCTTGCGCTGATGGCTATTGTGGCGGCCATTTCCCGACTGCGCACAGCTACAAAAACACGCACCAAAGACAAGAAACAAACATAAAATCATACCGTGTACCCTGCTGGATCGTCTGCCAGGATTTCCAGGCAAACGTGTGAGCTGGTGCAGTTAATGAATTTCAAAGTAAAGGAATCTTTCCTACCAGTTTTTAAGGACGAGTGTTGTGATCAAGGCTGCGATAACCATAATGAGAGACACAGTGATTGTGATTATCTGGTGAACTGCCAAACCTGCAAAGAGAAAAATCAACACGAGAGCAAGAGGATTAGATTTGTTGAGGACATTGTTTGGCTCCTGTTGCCCACAGAGCCATGCACTCCACATCTCTGCTCTGTGCTGTACACACTCTACTAAGTACTCAGGGCGGCTCTCTTGAAAAGGAAGAGGGTGACATTTTGCTCTTCAGTAAGTATTGATGACACTGTCATCCACTGCTATTCATTATTTAAGAGGAATATGAATTATTCCATGACAGTACAGCCAACTGTAATGGATAACCAAGTTTTCTCGAAGTACTTATAAAACGTATTATTCCCAGTTTTATTGTTATTCGTCTCTCTTTGTAACCTTTTCTCCCCTGAACGTACTTCTGTGGATTTTATTCAAACATTAAGTGGGAGCAGGTTGTTTGATACGCTGTATCAAATCAGATATATACCTATCAGCAACACCTGTTGATAGGTAGTCTGAGCGCTTTGGGAAGGAAGGCATGTTTACGCAGGGCAGAGGAGGGACACAGTAAGTAAGCAGTGAAGCTGGTTTGTTTGACAGAGCATAAATGAAGTACATTTAAGACTCTGGAAGTGTTTATTACACACTGAATTTAAAACGGCTTTAATACCAACATAAAGAAACACATAACTAAATGTGTAAATGAGTACAGGATTGTCGTATTGCCAAAACTTGACACGGACGATACAACAATCATAAACACATTTTATGTGGATTAAACTTAATGGGACCAGCTTGAAGCGCAAAATTGTAAAAAAGAAAATAAATGCATCAGCACTGCTTGCACAACTCACATCTTGTCAAACTACACCATTCACAGAATTTGCCTTCTACCTTGTTTTGTTATTTTGGGTCGATATCAATTTTACAATGTGTCCACCTGACTTTCTGAACCCAATATTCCCTCTCTGTTAGGCTCTGTTTTGGTCTCGACCTACTGCTAAGAAAAATATCGGACTCTTGAGCTGTGAAATGCTCTGCTATGTTCACCTGCTAGTCATAACACTTTGCATGTGCGTTGTTTGGAGCACACAGTGGCTTAAAACCAAACAATGAGCTAAACTGCTGCGTAAAGCTGAGGGGAACTGATGCACAACGTCATTTGATCCCTTGTAAATATTAAAATATTGAATAATGCTGCTTTGTCACCCTGCTACATCCTAGGACAGCTAATTGATGACAGTATGTCTGTGGTAAAGTCATGCTATGTACTAAAGTAAGTGTGTGAACTGCAGATAATATGCGACAGTGGTAAAAAAAAGTAGCTCCAGCCAGGACTCATCCACCGGTCACCCACTTAATATTCATAATGCACGGGCTGTTTAAGATCTACTTGCACTTGTCTGCCCCATTATTTAAAAAATCATTATTGGACAAATTAAAACCCAATTACAGTGCTATCAAAAGGACAGCAGAGACAATGGTTGACAACTTGTTCAAACTCTCACTTTCACTGGTGACTTTTGATTTAAGAAGGATAATAAACCCATCAACCTCTGTATAATCAAACCAAGTCATTCCGCACACTTTAGTGACAGATATCTGGTTCGTTGCATTGTTTTGCGAAGCTGTTTGGACAATTATGTCTATTCTTTAAACTATGCATCCTTTGCGGATATGAATGTGGACCAACGGCTCTCCGCTTGCTCCCTTTGTTCTGTATGACTACAGGACAAAAGCATTGTTCTTATTTAAACTCTTAAGACTCCTGTGTGTGCTGATCTCTCACTTTTTGCCAGAGGACAGTAATCCACAAACAAAACTGTGCGGTACATGTCTAAAGTGAGGATTAGTGTGAGCCTATTCAACGGTGCTGTACGGTGTGTGTGTGTGTGTGTGTGAGTGGGTGAGTGATACAGCACGAGGGCCACGAGGACACAATGACACACTGCAGCAGGTGACGTGCTGCAGGAGGTTGGAGGAAATAAAACACCCAAAAAATATAAGCCGTCATGATGAAAATGCCCACGTGTGCCTTATACATCTCACCTCTCCATCAGCCAGCTGCCTCGCTGCTGATCCAAGCCAATTTGTCTTTTGGAAAGGCTCAAAAGGAAGTGCTGCTCGGTCGTTTTGGAAAAGCATGCGGCCTCTCCTCTGCCTGCCTGCTGCCTGCCAAGCCTCCTCTTGGATAATAAACTTCTGCGGGCAGGGCGGTGCAGAGGGCTGGGCCAGGTCAACCTTAGATTAATGATATCTCCGGCTGGCTCAGGGAAGCCTTACCTTCCCAGCACAATCAGAGTCCCTCGCCACGGCGAAGGCACATTAACTTATCTGGCAAGTAATTTGCATTTCCCTCATATCCCCCGTTTCCCTCTCCGCCCGTCTCCGGCTGACGTCGAGGCTGTTAGGTTGAAAGTGTTCGGTAGTAAATTAACATCTGTCCGAGTTCAGGAATAATAGAGCTCTCCCCTGACCTTGATCAATAGCCGAGCTCTCTGCTGAGAATTGTTCTGTTTCACATTGATGTCGGCGTCAAAGGGAGCACTTCCCAGTCAGGAAATTTCAAATTAAAAAGTGCACTTGGCGAATTTGTTCTGTAATACCACCCCTGATGAGATCACATTGTGGCACTACATAAGGGTGGGCACTGTCCCTACCTCTAATGGACACTCCTCTGCCCACGCAAGGGGAACATCTGAGTATAATGCAAACTGTCAAGGAGTGCATGCAACCATCGATTGGTGAATGTTACGTCAGTGAACACAACGCACGCATGTTTAGCAGCTCAAACGCGAGCATGCTGTGTGTAGTTCACTCCGTTACATGTTCTCATTGTATTTAAGTCCAACTAGCTCATTAAGAGTTCCTCCAGGTTGCCGTTTGAAGCCAAAACATACGTACACTGTTCCCTCATACAGCTCCTTAATGAAACACAAAACGACAATGTGAGGTCCAGCCCAAACAAACACCAATATTAAGTCCATTATAACCTCATTTTCAGGGCATTACGTTTAAGGGTGACGAGATAATAGAGCAGATAATGACATGGCTGACAAATCTGAGTTTTTTTCATCCAGGACTGCCAGTTGGAGGGAAGGAGATTTGGCCTGGCCGTCTGAAACTCATTGAGCCCTGGCAGTCAGGTTGAAACGTCACCTTTGGCAGTTACCTTGCTTCAGAAATATACCCGGTTAGGTTTTTTTCGGTCAAATCACTGCCAAACAAAGAGAGGCTGAGAGGCAGATAGATGGAGAGAGAAGGAGACAGAAAGAGATACAGAGAGGAGAGGACAGCTAGCTCGTGACCTTGGTGGCAGCAGGATTTGAGCCCCTATCGTTGCTCCCAGCAAGAAATAAATGAGATTTTTTTTTTTGTTGTTGCCTCCATGGCCGTGACAGTTTGATGAACACGTCAAAGAAAAGCAAGGCGGGTAGATGAAATGTATCCCTGCTACCTGCTTTTAATAAAAGAATCCCAGCGTAGACACAAATACTCAGTGTGGGGTCAATAAATGTGCCTAGCAGGTAATCTCAATATGTTTTTTTACCATTGTCACATCACATTATCTCAGTATTTTCAGGCCGAATACATCAAAGATATGTGTATTAATCCTTAGTAATACAATGTTTGCCTCAGTACAGATTCAAATATCAAATGACTACTTGTAAGAGGTAGTGACAACCCCAGAGAATAGTAACAGGACTCTGCAGTTGCCCTCAGCTTTAATTGACCTTCTTAGCTAATTGTTTTAGTGTTACGACCCTCAACCTTCATGGTTCAGTCTCACCGCCCTCATCAACTTGGTTTGCAGACACAGTAGGCAGCTCTTTTTAGGGGAAAAGCTCCAATAAATCCACTGTGTGCTAACTGGCGTGCAGCACACAGCAGATACAGTTAGCGACTAGAAGCTAAAGGACCATATATTTCCCTCAGGGGTTGGTGGACACCAAAACAGCACTATAAGGAGAATGCATATTGGACTTGGAGTCTGCTGGATGCCGACCAGTTTTGCTAACACCTTTGCCACAAGGTTATAAGGTGAGAAAAGGTCAATGTTATTTTTACACCTGAAGCATCGCAGCTTCAGGAGTCAGAGGACTTCACTCAGCATTTAACACATGTATTGAGTTGTGTCCTGGTCCTAAACAAGGGAGTGATTGGCTGATGTTGGTTACATCAAACTAAAAAAACAACATAACATGTTAGTAGCTGCTCTACTGACACAAGATAATCCCAAGATGCCCGTTCAGTGTGAGGGACACAGAGCTGAGTCTAAACTGTAACTCTTGCTACTTCAGCAACACTTATTTCCCTGCAGAATACCTCCGATGCAAATTATTTATTATTATTAATTTTTTTTAATTTTCTTATCGTTTATTCATCACAACCCAGGCATGTAAAGGCCTTAAGTCATGATAGTGTGACAGTGGGGGGCATGCCAAATACCAGGACCCTGAAACTCAAGCAGCTAAATGGAATTCAGCCATCATTCATGTGACATGCCAAGTTGTCATGACAGACTGCATCCTGCAATAAAAAAATCAACATATTGAATATCAAATGAATGTACTTGTGGACATATGCTCCAAGTCAAAAAACCACAAATGAGAACATATTGTTACAGCCGGCCATAACTTTTAGTGACCAAAGACAATTTCAGCCTCTGCATCCATGACCTTGCTGAATTCCTAAATCTGCGATTTACACGGTGAATTATGTGACAGCAGGCAGTTTGTCCTCTGAGTAACAATGCCATCAGGCAATACTGGACAGATGATGAGGAAACTATTTAATTAGTATGCATGTATGTATGAGTTATTGTCAGTCTTTAGCGTGTGTGTGTGTGAGTTCACCGGACCTTCATTATGTAGCAGTAAGCCCTATCAGGCAGCCATTGCAAAGAGCCATTTAGGGCTAATGGTGCCTAAACCCACGCAGCCCCGGCTTGAAAGCTCCTAAGAAATGTGGAAAAAGGCCCACTCATTAGGAAAACAGATAGCTGTGGCTTACAAAAGTTGAGCCACCTCACTCCCACACATCAATACAGGCTAATGCG